GACAGCCGATCTCTGGCATGGGCGATTGGGACATCCAGCTGTTGATAAACTTCTTTTGTTGAAAGATTTCATTGGTTGTAGTTTGGATAGTCGGCATTCATCACATTGTGATTCTTGTTTACGTGCTAAGCAGACACGGGCACCATTTTCTCTTAGTTCTATCAAAACGTCATCTTGTTTTGATCTTCTACACATTGATATATGGGGACCGTATCGTACTCCGGCACTAGATGGGTCACGTTTCTTTTTGACCATTGTTGACGACTACAGTCGGGCAACTTGGGTATATCTCATGAAATTCAAGTCGGATGCTGAACGTTACATTCGGATGCATTGTGAACTAGCTCACACCCAGTATGGTAAATCGGTTCGCCGCATCCAGGCAGACAATGGACTTGAATTCCGTACTAACTCTCTGCGTCAGTTTTATGAGGATCGAGGCATTATACTGCAGACCTCTTGCATTGACACTCCCCAACAGAACGGGGTGGTCGAGAGGAAACATCGTCACTTGTTAGAGACGGCTCGGGCACTCATGTTCCACGCAGGCTTACCGGTTCGATTTTGGGGTGACTGTGTGGTCACGGCTGCTTACCTCATAAATCGCTTACCATCGTCAGTGATCTCTCTGAAGACACCGTTCGAGATTCTCCTTGGTCGTGCTCCTACTTACTCACACTTGCGTAGCTTCGGGTGTCTCGCCTATGCTAAGGACACTCATCAAGCTCTCGACAAGTTCGGTGATCGAGGACGAGCAGGCATTTTCATAGGCTACCCTGGTAACCAGAAAGGTTACCGCATTTTTGATTTGCAGACTCGCCGTGTTGTAGTTTCTCGAGACGTGCACTTCGTCGAGGATTCATTTCCTTTCCGAGAAAACTCTACCGCCGCGCCGCTGCCATCCTTGCCCTCTGCCGTTCCTTACCAGCTGCATGTGCATGATATTCACATGCAAAGTACGTGTGAGCCTAATGGTCAGGGGGAGCTTTTGGGCGCTGATGACGAGCCGGTGGATGCAGTTGGGTCTCCACCAACCGAGCCCGCTGCGCCTGATGTGATTCCTACACCCGAGCTGCAAGGGGACACGCCACCTCGAGCTCCTGCCTCGCCCCCACCTGATGCGGCGACTGTCGAGGAGAACCGAGCTCCTGCCTCGTCCCCTCCTACTCAACTTGTGCTGCCTCGCCGCAATCCGGAGCGAGCTCGACGCGCCCCCAGCCACTTGGATCCCTACGAGGTAAAACTCCCTAATACATCTTCACATTCGGTCTTGTTTCCTCTTTCTGATCACGTTAGCTATCATCGTTTTTCGGCTAACTACTGTGATTTTTTGGCTGCCATGGCTGCGCATGTTGAGCCTCGCCATTTCTCTCAAGCTGCTCAATACCAGCAGTGGCGTGAGGCCATGCAGCGGGAAATCAATGCCCTGGAGGCTAACGGGACTTGGACGCTTGAGCTTTTGCCGCCCGGAAAGAGAGCCATTGATTCGAAGTGGGTATACAAAATCAAGTATAAGCCGGATGGGTCCGTCGAACGGTACAAAGCGCGACTTGTGGCCAAAGGTTTCACTCAGTTGGAAGGAATTGATTTTCATGATACTTTCGCGCCTGTAGCGAAGTTAGTCACAGTCCGTGTGCTGCTGGCTGTGGCCGCTCAGAGGGGATGGCCTCTTCATCAGCTGGACGTCAATAATGCATTTCTTCACGGCGACTTAGAAGAGGAAGTTTATATGAAGGTACCTCAAGGGTTTGCTAAACCGGGTGATCAGCGTGTTTGTCGCCTTCGCAAATCTCTTTACGGTCTTCGTCAAGCTTCACGAAATTGGTACGCCAAGTTCACTGCTGCTCTCCTAGAGTTTGGGTTCACGGTGTCTCGAGCGGACCATTCTCTCTTTCTCTATGAAGCTGGCGGGGTTTCTGTTATGGCATTAATTTATGTCGATGATGTTGTGCTCACCGGTAATGACGATGCGTGCATTGCTCGGGTGAAAGCCTTCCTGCATGATCGGTTTAGCATCAAGGATTTGGGGCCCCTCAAGTATTTCCTGGGTATTGAGGTTGCCCGGTCTGCTGACGGGATTGTCTTATGCCAGCGCAAGTACACTCTGGATATCTTGGCGGATTCGGGGTTGGGCGCTGCTCGGCCTAGTAGCTTCCCGATGGAGCAGAATCACACCTTGACACGGCCGACTGTTGATCCGGTTGATGATGTTAGCTCCTACCGCCGGCTCGTGGGTCGCCTTCTCTATCTCACTATTACTCGACCTGACATTGCTTATGCGGTCAGTATATTGAGCCAGTTTGTGCACTCGCCCGGACCTGATCATGTGACTGCTGCTCACCGTGTTCTTCGCTACCTAAAGAACTCTCCGGGACAGGGTCTTTTCCTCCCGTCGACAGGTTCTTTGACGTTGACTGCCTATAGTGATGCAGATTGGGCAGGTTGTCAGTCAACGCGTCGCTCCATGACAGGGTATTACATTCAGCTGGGTGGTGCCCCGATATCTTGGCGGGCTAAGAAGCAGAAGGTGGTAGCCCGCTCTTCCGCTGAGGCGGAGTACCGTGCCATGGCCAGTGCTACCAGTGAGGTCTTGTGGCTCCGTTTGCTGATGAGCGAGCTTGGTGCGCCTCAGGCTGCTCCAACCACCCTTTACTGTGATAACCAGGCTGCTTTGCACATTGCCGCCAATCCCGTCTTCCATGAGCGCACTAAGCATGTGGAGATGGATTGCTACTTCGTTCGTGAGCGTGTTGTCTCTGGCGAGATTCAGCCATGTAAGGTTCACACCAACTCACAACTGGCGGACATTTTCACCAAAGCGCTTGGCGCCGACAAGTTCCATGCTCTTTTGTCCAAGCTTGGCATTTGTGACCTTCATGCTCCAGCTTGAGGGGGAGTATTGGACTTCATTGTGTACTTTTCGTTAGTAGAATGCTTGTTTTGTTATTTGCCTTATAACCCACGTACTTGTTGAGGGTATAAAGGCTTCTGTTGTTCGCCCTAGCAAAAACCTAAGAGAGGTTTTTGCCGTACTGTACCGCTATCGAGATAGTGAAGCTCCTTTCATGAGAGTTAGCCTCTCCGTGGATTAGTCTCGTTCGTCTTGAACGAGGATACCACGTTAACATCGTGTGTCATTATATTTCCGCATTTATCAAGTTTCACAGAAGTAGTTTCTTTCAACTTCACCCCGACCGAAACCGCGCTTCCTCACTTCTTAATCCTCCCTGCGAAGCATCTAAAATGCTTTCTTCTCTGCTTTACAGCATTACGGCATCGTTATTGAGTTGTCAAGCGCCTAGGCAGCCGCCTAGTTGCGCTTTCTTAAAGGCTAAAGAAGAGAAACAATAGGAGAAGAAGAAGAAAATCGTACCTACCCTGCTCTTCTTTTCTGCGCTTTCCTTCCTTTCTTCCTCTTTTCAGTGCAAGCAATGCCTGGATTTGGAGAAGGCTGCACAAGCGGGGTCTGGATCTAGAGAAAGAGTAGGATTTGGGGAAGAAATCGACCGACAAAGCTAGCTAGGGTTTATTTTTCGAAGACTGATTTGAGAGAGAAGGGGGTCTGAAGTCTGAACACGATGGAGAAAAGGAGAGAGATGCGTTTTTTGTTTGGCGCTGCGTGCATATACATTGGCCTCCAACGTTGTCGTTTCACAACAAAGAGTTAGAGGGGGTGGGGGGCTCAAACAACGTTTCGAAACCCATACGTAAAAGTCGGGAGTTTTTACGGGATGAATTTGTTTTGTTTTAACACACCGAAACCACATCAGTTTGAACCTCCTTGGGCGACGAAACTGTCTTTGCATATAATTGAAAATGTATTGCGACGAATGCAATCGTCGCGAAATCCTCCAAAGTTTTCTGCGACGAAAGTTCCCGTCGCCAAACATTACACTTCGTCGCCAAATCCATTGCATGGGCTATCTAATAAAATAGAGAGATTCAGCGACGAAAATTATAATTTCGTCGCGGTAACCTTAGCTTTAGCGACGAAATCTCTTCCGTCGCCCAAATTATCGTCGCTAAAGGTAAGTTTTTTTGTAGTGATTAAATCGTTCCTTTTGTTCAAAAATTTCCGAAAATGACTAAACACGAAGGAGATACCATATGGTATGGAGTTGGTAACGAGAGGGATGAAAAAAAAATTTTCTCAAAAAATATTGAAAATGGATATCATTTTGTAGAGTACAACGAACTCGTTCCATCTGTGCAAAAAAAATTGAAATCCGAGTTAGAATGAAGAACCTATGATCCAATTAAAAAAAATAGGGAACATAAATTCCTTTAATTTTCCACCCTTAGATCTGTAGTCACTTAAAAGAAAGGTCCAGATTTGGTTACTCATTGCTACTCACTCTAAGGTTACTCACCCTATCTTGAACTCAACGTTAGCAATTCAATTATGGATACCATTACCCTATTTAAACTAACTCCCCATACTTGCGTCTTCAGGTGTAGCTGGTGTGGTATTTCGTACTTTTCAGATGCAAATTGCTTTCAAAATCATTGGGAAACTTTTAGAAGGTTCCATGAGTCTCTCGGACTAATTTTGGTCATGGTGGCCTGCACGGCGGTCTGGAGCGTCGTTGCCATTTGTGCTCGGATTGGGATGACATTTGTTGCACAGCTGTGAAGGAGGGTTTCCAAAAAATGAAAAAGAAAAAAGTAAGACGGAGAAGCGAATATAACCTATGACCTAGGAATCAAAGCAAGCAAGATGAAAGCAACCATCCCAGGAATTGTTAACTATCAACTTAGCAAAGGGAGAAGAATATGATTCCAAGCGTTACCATGATGATTTAAGGTTACCAACTCCAAAAGAAAACATTAACAAAAAAATGTATGCATGGATTTGCAGATTCGGCACGTGCATGCACATTGCACTGTCCGAACTCTGTAACACACACCTTGCCTTAATTAATTAATCACAAATCTTGATAGCTTATTAATCTCAACCCAACAACTCCATCCATCCACCCATCCTAAATATTTTCCTGCCCATGGAGACACAAAAAGCCCACATTTCTGCCGCCGCACCGGCGCCGCCAGCCCCGGTAGGTGATTACGAAGACTTTCAGCCACTCTCCACATGGCAAACCACCGAATCCCACCACATTCTTCGCCTCCATCTTCATGGTACGTTTTGATCACGGAGAGACACCCCTAGCTTTGCCAACTAAAATCACCGGAGAGCAAATCAAAATGACTGTTTATTTTTTTGTTCCTGATTTCATAAGGTTTCAGAAAGGAGCAGATGAGAGTCCGATTAGATAGCCGTGGAATCCTGTCAATAACCGGAGAGCGCCCTGCTGCCGAGGAGGAGGCCAATGAACGTTCACATTCTGGCCGGAGGCGGCATCGTCGGTTCCGCAAGGAAATCAAGGTGGCTTGCCGGTCGCCGGACAAGATTCGTGCTAAGTTTTCAGCCGGAGTTCTGACGGTGGCGCTGCCTTTGGAAGCCAATCCTCGCGAGCACAACGAGGATAGCATTTCTACGAGGATTAGCATCAACCTTGAAAGTGCGCCGTTGTATTGTGCAGCGGCGGCGATGTCCGGTTACTTGTGGCGGCTGAGGAAGTGGTTCGAGAATTTGCCGAGAGTGGGGAAGGTGTGCTTGGTTCTGCTTGGCGTGGCGCTGATGATGGGTCTTGTTGCCGCGCTGAGCGTCTCATTTTGGATTAGTAGTCGTCATGTCACCCACTAAATATATTGATCACGGAAGAGGGTTTTATTATTATTCAGAGATGACATAATTATGATTATGATGCATTTGAAATTCAATGTAATAGCGTGTTTCAAATATACATAAACGCAACCATAAATAATATACCCAAATGCAGATACCAAGAGTGGTGGGGTTCTAAAATTTGTGTTCGATGCAAACTCACTTCTACATCTATGCTAACAATGTCAAGTATAACAAAGTTGGAAATGTACTAAAGCGGCTTGGTCGTATATATTCCATGAGGCCTTGAATCTTCTGCTACTTTAGGACTAATTAATTTACTATTTAACCTAAACGATAATTGGGTGTATTATAAACTAATTGAATGATTACCTTGTGTTTTGGTTCGAGGATATATAGGAGATGTACTTGGGGATAGCTTTCCACTAAATATATTCAGGCACGAATACAAATGAGATGTTCTTTTCCTTTATGATGTCGAATTCCTCTTATATCGCTACTAAGGCAACGATCATGTCACTTGATATATGTGTTTTTTATGATATTTTGTTTTGATGGTCTGAAGTATATTATTTATGGGCAGAGAGAAGACCCAACTTCCAAATAATTCTCCTAAGATTTAATCTCAACCATGACGGAAGAGCTATGACACGAATATATCTAGCACTTTGGAGTTAATAATCTTGGATAACTACTTTTTCTAAAACCAATTTAAGCAAATGTAATTCTCATATGATACCATAACACATGGGTTTCATAATAGATCATATTAAAGATGAGATAACTCTCTAATACCAAAAGTTATCTTACAGTCTCACAATTGATCGATATGATGAATACCCACGATTGTTTCTTATAGGAAATTATAAGGCCCACCTAAATTGTTTAATTTGTTGTCTTTAGTTGATTGTCATAAGTTCCCTAATTGATCTAGTTGGTAATGAGAGTCGTGGCGGTCATAATTTAGCAACCTTAATTTCTTCCATGTACAACGACATTATTAAAAAGTAAAACTTTGGTTTCATGTTTCTTAGTTTTAGGATCAATATGTGATCATATCATTGATGCATTAATTAAAATAATGAATTTATATATGATCTGCATGATTCGTGTATTTTCCCGTATACAATTTGATAAAACCTCAATAGATTCAATTACTATCACAAGTCATGGTGAAATATTATAGGCTCTTCGAGAGCATGCATCACATAGTAACTCCTTTAATTGATGAATTTGGTAAACGCTCACTTGATTACCATATGAAATCTCCATCATTGTTTTTGCATCTTTATTCACGATGGACTGACTGAGCATGCCAAAACACAAATTTATCAAATCTTGTAAACTTTCATGTAGTATAAATTTCTCCAGTTAAGTATATGCTCTCTCAGAATAAATTTTTAGTGCAATATTAATTGTCCATTATTTTAATGTGATATTCATTTATGCATATCTTCATAATCCGATAATGCATAATCAACTAACAATTAGTTCATTCATGTCTTAAAATCTTGATTCTTCTAGATTTTTAACATATATACTTCGTTTAGACATTATAACTTGATGCACTATTAATAAAAACATACCTATATGATTAAAATATCAATTCTTAAGTAAATATATCAATAAGAGGAAAATAAAAATAAATACATTTTTTCTAAAACAAAACGATCTTAAAAAACTACCAAATTTATCAAGAAAATATTAGATTGATTTAGTAATGCCATATCAATCAACATGCTAATAACATTCATTTTGAGAAGTATCATCACCAACTGGGTTATCAATCTTACATTTAGTATCAATAGTAAATATAAATATTATACACGTAGGACATGATACAATTATTAATGTTTTGATATTTCACTATAAGTTTTTAACGTGCGATGAGTCATAGGCATAACTTTTATATTGGGATTATTGTATAAAATTTATTTGTAGTCCTTTTTTGTCACTTTTGGTATTAAGGTACGTTCGTGAGTATTTCATTGACATCATCCAAATAATGAATTTGATATTTATAAAAATTATTTATTGTAACTTTATTACTTATGTGGATAATTTGTTACAATATTCACATCTAAGAATAACTAAATAACTACTTTAGGACCAATTTTAATAAATCTCTTTTCTCTTTGTTACCATTGTCCCTTTGAGAGATAAAGAAACTAATTCTTCATTTGTTGAAATTATTTCGTAATAATGCTACTACTCGAGCACTTAGGAAATCCACAAGTACGATATCAATAACTTTTCATACCACTAGGTAACACACATTTTCAATATAATAGCTTTTGTTACCATCTCCACTTTATTTGAGGCCACATTTTTCTTCCTCATTTGTTCCTCTTCAAGGGAAGAAGGATACTCTAAGAACTTTTCTCTCCATTTCAATATAAGATTGTCACGAATAATATTTAGAAATATGACATGATAAAACAAGGGTTAATATTTTCGTATGACCTGAACTTTGACCAAAATAAACATCCTGACCAATATTTTTGATCTATAACATCCTGGCCCGAACTATACACCAGAATAAACAATTTGGCCAAACCCGATGTTTGACCGTTAACTTGGACGGTCAAACGCGTTGAGTAACGGTCAACGCCCCACATCACTGCCAAGTCAGAAGATCTGATAAATATTTAATTTTTTTCATTTTTATTTTTGGTTTAACTAAGGTATTAGATGATTTTTTTAAATTGATAATAATTTAAAATTAGAGAATGTGTGGAAATTGTGAATTATTTTAAATATTTTATGCTGACTTGGCAGTGACATGACGCGTTGACTAACGGTCAGCTCGTTTGACCGTCCAAGTTAACGGTCAAAAGTCGGATCTGGCCAAATTGTTTATTTTGGTGTATAGTTTGAGCCAGGATGTTATAGATCGAAAAGATTGGTCAGGATGTTTATTTTGGTCAAAATTCAGGTCATACGAAAATATTAACCCATTAAACAATGTCAACTAAATGATTGATTAAACTTTGCAAAGTTTATTCTCAACTTTATAGAAATTGATAAACAAATATACATCATACAACACAATGATAAAAATATATTACCGTTATTCTCTCTCTTCCTATTTTCTCTGAGTGTTGACGGTCCAAATATGGCGGCCTCGTCGCCAGGGTTCTCCCGGCAGGTGAGGAAAGTACCTGGACTCAGTTATTTGCGGTGGCGCCGGACAATGGTTTCTTTGTCGTCTCTGGAGCAGATTAACGATGAGTTCATAATCCCTAAGGAGGTCAAGGAGAAAGGGGCAATCCGTTGGAAGAATAGTCTTATAGGGCAACTTGTGGGGGATATTCCTCGTCTTCCCGAATTGCAGAGCTGGGTTACTCGTTTATGGGGAAGGGAAGGTGCGATTCCAGTCTATAGATTTGGGTCGCGACTTTTAGTTTTTCAGTTTCCATCGATGGGTACGAGTGACTGGGTTTTTAGGTCGGGTCCTTGGCACTTCCAGGGAAACCCTATTTTCTTTCGGAAGTGGTGTCCTGGGATACAGTCGATTGAGCCTAAGGTGGAGACTTTTCCATCTGGGTTCGCTTCTCTGGTATTCCTTTGGAGTTCAATTCCTTGGAGGGTTAGGAGTGGGTTGTTAGTACAGTTGGCCGTTGGGGTGCCGCAACATTTGAATAGATCAACCAGAGTTGGGGCTCGGCCTGGTATTGCTCGTGCTTGTCTGGAGTTGGGTGGTAATTCTAGGTTTCCTAGCTCGGTTCGTCTATATCCTGATGAGGAATCATATTTCAAGGTGAGTGTAGAGTATAGCCATTTGCCTTCTGTCTGTCCAAAATGTGAAATGTTTGGTCATAATTGTAACAGCTCTCGCCTTGATGGGAAGGAATGAGTTAAGAAAGCGAAGCCCAGCAAGAAGTCAAAAGAAGTATGTGCTTCGAAGGAGTATAGTGGTTGTGAGTTTGATCAGGAAGTGGTTAAGTTGGACGTGGATAAAGGGAAGACAAGTGCATATACTATTGATTTGTCCTTTGGGATTGGAGCTAGTGGGAACTTTTTTCAAGTGCTTGAAGATGTAGAACCAGAACACATCATGCCTGAACCTCCTCTCATGGGTCACGTAATGAGTTTTGCAGAGGTGGTATGTAGGTCACCTGCTAGTTCAGGGAGCTCTCGTCCTCTTTTGCAACCGAAGGTTGGGGAGTCAGCAGTCAAACAAACTGGGAGCTCCCCTCCTTAGGCGTCTCATGCAGATCAGGGTGAGTCAGTTTTAGATATTCTCCAATTAAGAAGAAAGGAGGTAAGGGTGGAGGCCGAGGAAGACTTAAGCGATGAGCATATTTACTTGGAATATACGAGGGTTTTGTTATGATAGTAAGTTCACAGCATAAAATACATATAATAGCCATATTAGAACCCTGGGTTAGAGCAAGTAAGGCAAACAAAATGCTGGTGAAGTGGTCTTCGAAATGGGAAGAAAAAATTAGTAATGATGAGAAGCGGCTCGGTAAGATCTGGATTTTTTGGAAGAAGGAAGTGAATCTGGTAGTGAAAGTGTGGACTTCTCAGTTTATACAAGTGGAAGTGAAAGATGTTCTTCCGTTTGGTGCTACTTTTGTGTATGCTTCATATACTAACTCTGATAGGGTAAAGTTGTTTAATGATATTAGGAGGAATAAGGTTATTACGATGCCCTGGCTCATTTTGGGAGATTTTAATGCCATTAGAAACCCTTCTGAAGCATCTAATGATCCTGGATACACTAGTAGCATGGCTAAATTCAATAGTTGGCTGTTGGATTTGGAGTTGGAAGAGCACAAGTTTTTTGGTCCCTAGTTTTCATGGATTAACAAGCAATCAAGGAATCCTATAGCTCGAAGGTTGGATAGAAGCTTTGTTAACCTCCCTTGGCCGGATAGAATCCCCATAGTTGTAACATCCCGTTTCGGCTAAAATTGTATTACTCCCACTAGAAAATTTCACGATTTAAAATCGAGCATTTTGGCAGTATTTCAACGAAAATCGGATTATTGATCGATCGTATAAATATACAT